GCTCTCAGCCTTGCCGCCAGTGCTGCTAGTGCTGGCGCAGTACTACGCCAGTTGTAAATTTCCCATTGGGTATGCATTTAATTAAAGAATTTAGGAATAATTGAAATTTCGTTAAATTGAATGTTGTAAACAAATGGATTTGAAAATTGCCAAAGAACTTTTTCGAAAACTATTAAAAATAATAGTTATAAAGTAAAATGTAGTTAAAAATTTTTGAAAATAATAATTGAATTGAAATAATGAAAATAATTTTGAAGAAGTATAATATTTTTATATTATAAAATAATGATTTTATTACTTGGTCATCTTTAGTTATTATAAAATATGAAGAAATCGATCTTCGACTCGGAGTGATTTCAGTTGAAACTGTCTGTACTAGTCAGACTGAAAATTCTTATCCTTGTGATTAGTACCAAGCAGTAAAAGTCAATAACTAAAGTTAAAGTCAAACTACTACTATTAATTCTTTTTATTATTAACAATTTTTAGCAATTCTATTAGTTCTTTATCAATTAAAAATAATCGTATCAGTAGAACAAACAATTTTTAGTCAGACAAAGATAATTTTCCTTAAAAATTCAATAAATTCTAAGAAATTCTAAATTCTTTTGAGATTAGTTAGATTTTTGTTTTTATATTTAAAAAATTCATGAAATTTCCAACAAATTTCATGTATTATATTATTTTCTATTTTCTGGTTTTGAGGGAGAAAAGTACACTGTTTTGAAAAACATTCAATTTCAGTAATTTAATAACTTTCGTTATTTTCTTCGAATCTTAAAATAACGAAATACGTATTTATTTTTTTTCCATACAGAAACAAAAAATAATAATTATTCTAACCAAATTTAGAATTTCTAAGAATTTAATTCATTTTTGCTTCCTCGTGAGGAAGCTTTGTAGTCGTTTAATTTACAAAATTTTTAAAAATCCTTTTAACAAATTTTCTTCTATATGGGACTATGTTATATAAGACCCTGAACAATTGTCCAGATGTATGTATGTGTGTGTATGTGTGTGTGTATGTGTGTGTGTATGTGTGTGTGTGTGTGTGGATCCCGATTTTTGTGAACAGGATAACTCGAAGAGGTTTTAACGAATTTGGCTAAAATTTACCAGGTATATTTATCATAAAAATATCTCGAAATGGATTGATAAACTTTAAAAAATTCTCAAAAAAAAATTTTTTTTTGACTTTTTTCTAAAAAATTTTTTTTTTCAAAAAAATTTTTTTAAGTTGTTTATTGAAGTTAATATATAATAAAATCTTATTCTTTGCATCAAGACGAATCGATTGGTATATAACAAGTATAAATTGTATGAGAATTTATAGAGTTAATCACAATTAAAGCTGAAAAAATCGCATTTTTATCAAAAAAATGAGTTCTTTCCGCAAAATTATGTTGCTGTGTAAGAAAATCTTACTCATTTATTTCTAAAATCTTATTCATTACACCAAGACGGATCGATTGGTATATATAAAGTATATGTTTTACTTAAATTTATAGAATTAAAACCAATTATAGACAAAAAATTTGCACTTTTAATAAAAATTCATTTTTTCTTAAAAATCATGTTGTTGTACAATAGAATGTTATTATTTATTAAAAAATAAATCAAAAATCTTATTCTTTGCATCAAGACGAATCGATTGATGTATATAAAGTATATATTCTATTGAAAATTATAGAATTAATTACAATTAAAGTTGAAAAATTCACTTTTTAACTAAAAATTTTTTTGTTTATTTAGATTCATATTACTGTATAAGAAAATTTTATTCTTTCTATTAAGACGAATGAACTTTATTTTATAAATGTTAAATTGTATTAAAAATGATTTAAAAATGAAATATATTTATCGTTAATGCTTCCTTCACGAGGAAGCAAATTTTTTTTGCTGATCGTAAAGAGGAAGCAAAATGTTCATGTAATGAACATCTGGATTTACAACTTGTTTAACAAATACTAGCTTTGTCTGACTAAAAATCGTTTGTACTACTGATACAAATGGTTTTAATTGATAAAGAACTAATAGAACCGTTGAAAGAATTAGTAGTTTGTCTTTTACTTTAGTTATTGAATTTTACTACTTGGTGCTTATCACAATGATTAAAGTTTTCAGTCTGACTGGTACAGACAGTTACTACTGAAATGAAAATTTTACCAGTTTTACTTCTGGTTCTAGAAAGATAGAGCAATCTTTTTTTAAATAAATTTTTTTGTTATGTCTGACTTATAATGATTTATACTACTTGAATTTAAGTTACAAAAATTACAAGCGTTTTATACTGTGTTACTTGATAAAATTACTAAACAATTGGAAATAAAACTTTTTGTCTGACTGTCAGTACTACTGTATTTGAATCTTCCGAGAATTCGCTAAAATTGTCTGACTAAACTGACCTTACCTACTGATAGTTCAAAATTTATTTTAAATTGTCTAACTAAATTGTTATTATATTTACTATTAGTGTTAAATAATTATAATACTACACTGGCTAAATAAATGTAATTGAATGTACTGATAATAAATTTTTAAAAAATAATAATCAATTAGACTGATTAATGCTAATTTTTACTACTTAAAGCAAAATTACAAAAATCAGACATAACATATTCTGCCTGACTTAAGAAAATTCTTACTACTTGATTTTAATTAATTTATTTTAATTATTGCTAACATTAAACAAAAGTCGAAAAATTTTATTGTAATTGTCTGACTAAACAACTTTCTACTACTGATAATTAATAAATATTATAATTATTAATAAACTAATCAATACAAATTTTAAAATAACGGTCTGACTGAAGCATAATTTTTATACTGAAAACATACAAAAATAATGATAATTTTTTCATCCAAATTCACAATTAATTTCTTATACGATCTTTTACTAAAAAAAAAGCTAAACCAAACTTTTTTGTCCCACTTTACTGGCTTTTACTACTGAAATTAAAAGTAAGATTCTATTAAAAAATTTGTCTGATTGAGACAGCATTTTACTACTAAAACTAAAAATTAATGTCTAGTATATTTTTACACTGAATCTTGAAGTGTGATTCTAGTAAAAAATATGTCTGTTGTTGACGGACTTTTACTACTGAAACTGTAAATATATGTACAATTTTGAATATTTTCTCTATTCAAACATAGAACTATTGTCTAATTAATACTACAGATTTTCAATACTAAATTTAAACTAAAGATGCTGTTAAGTAATTTGTCTGACTAAAACAGATTTTTATCACTGAAACTGAAATTATAAGAATATTGAATATTCTCTGAATCAAAAACAAATATTAGTGTCTCACTGCTACTGTATTATTACTACTAAAACTAAAATAAAGATTTTGATAAATAATTTTCATAAATAAGAAGAATATAAAAATTTTAATAAAGAATTTGTCTGACTAAAGCATTTTTTTTACCACTGAAACTGAAATCACAAGAATTTTTTACATATTTTATCTAAAACGAAAATTATTGTCGACTGAATTTTCTTATTTAAATTCAAGGTAAGATTATATTATAAAATATATCTGACCATGCCAGTCTTTTACCACTGAAAATAAAATTACAATTACTTTGAATACTCTCTTTATCTAATTAAAAAATATGTCTGACCATGGCAATCTTCTACTACTGAAACTAAAAATAACTACTAGTGGAAATAAAAAGAAGTCTCTGTTAAACAATTCGTTTGACTAAAATATTATTTTACTACTGAAACTACATTTTTCTAAACGCACCATAAATTATTTCTTTTAAGAAATTTGTCTGACTAAAACAATTATTTACTACTGAAACTAAATATTTTTAAAGACTTCATAATTTAATTCCTCTTAAACAATTTGTCTGACTAAAACAGTCTTTCACTACTAAAAGTAAATTTTTCTAATCTCTTCATTAATTATTTCTTTCAAACAATTTGTCTGGCTGATACAGTCTTTTACTACTGAAACTACATTTTACTTATGAATTTAAAATAAAGATTCAATTTAACAGTTTGCCTGACAAAAACCGTCTTTTACTACTGAAACTAAATTTTTCTAATCGCACTTGAAATTATTTCTTTTAAGAAATTTGTCTTACTAAAACAGTTATTTACTACTGAAACAAAAATTTTTCTATATCAATCAAAATCTTTATTTAAAAAATTTGTCTGACTGATACAGTATTTTACCACTGAAATTACATTTTAATTCTGAAATTAAATTTTTCTAAATCACTATCAATTTTAGACATTTTAGGAAACTAAAATAGCCTTTTACTACTGAAACAAAAATTTTCCATATCCTACAAAAACTTTTTAATTAATTTGTCTGATTAATACAGTCTTTCACTACTAAAACCTTTTTTTTACTTCTAAAATTAAAATCAGTATTCAATAAACAATTTGTCTGACTAAAACTGTCTTTTACTATTGAAATTAAATTGTCCTAAAGCCTTTATAAAATATTTCTTTTAAATAATTTGTCTGACGAAAACAATCTTTCACTACTGAAATTAATTTTTCCTAAATCATTCGTTTAAACAATTTGTCTGACTAAAACAGTCTTTTACTACTGAAACAACATATTTCTATATCCTTCAAAAACTTGTTCATTTAAAAAATTTGTCTGACTGATTCAGTCTTTTACTACTGAAATTAAATTTTAATTCTGAAATTAAAATGAAGATTCAATTAAACAGTTTGTCTATGACCAAAATATTCCTTTCCTACTGAAGTTAATACTTTTAATACTAAATTTTCATAAACCCTTTATAAATTATTTCTTTTCAATAATTTGTCTGACTAAAACAGACTTTAATTACTGAAAAAAAGTTTAAATATTTTGATTACTTTGTGTGTCTAGTAATTTTGTTACTATCAAAGAAATTATTTGCAAAAATATTGTTTTCGTCTGACTGAAATTAAATCGTACTACTTAATCTGTACTTTCTTTTCTTATTTTCTTTACAAAAAAAATTTATTCTTTTTTAAAATATAAATTTACCTTTTAAAATCTCCAAGCAATTCCTTTAGATTTCCCGTGACCAATTTTTGATCATCATTAATAAATTTCAATTTAATACTTATTTTCGTCTCTTCACTTAATGTTGACAAATCCTCAGCAATATTTTCATCATCAATTAATTCCTGTGTTGTTTCATTCACTGTTGTTTGTGAATCAGTTGAATCCGAACTACTTAATTTCGCCTGTCTTTGAATTAATCTTGCATCATCATTATTAAACGAATCCATAGCTTCAATTAAAACTTCCTCCGAAGTTGCTGTTTCCGCTGAATTTGTACTCGCATTCGTTTCCGATGGCACTTCCGTCGCATCTGCAAAAAAAAAATTGTCATCAAATAAAAATTTTATTTATTCTTTATGCTTCTTTATAAATTACAATTTACAATTTACAATTTACAAAATTTACAATTTTTCACAAATTTTCTTTACCAGTTTCTCACATTCATTCAATTTTCCACAAATTTCAATGAAATCTGTATTTAATAATTGAAACTAACTTAAATTATTTACTTTTTTTTTTACTTAAATTATTTTCTTTCAAGTGGACTTTTTAAAGAAAATGTAAGACAGTTAATATCTGAATTAACCAGATTCTCACATTCAATCATTTTTCCACAAACTTTACTGTAATTTGTACTGAAGATAATTTAAATTGAAATAAATTTTTTAGTTTCGTTAAATTATTAAATGTTAACTAATGATATATAATAAAAAATTAGTAAATATTAATTAAGCATTAGTTTAACAATAAAAAAAATTATTCTCTCACTTTCGACAGATGTTTCTTGATCGTTGACATTTGTTGAATCACTTATTCTATTTTCATCTTCCGATGTATCTAAATTTGCCGTTTGACTCGATGAATTTACATTATTATTGGCTGATAATTCGGCGATTCGTGTACGTGTTCGATGTTGTAATATAAGTACCGTTCGTATTAATGGTTGATCACTGATATTTGTCGAGCACCATGCGAGCCAACCAATTAATAAAACACCAACAATTATGAAGAAATCGGTTACTTCTTCGCCCACGCCTTCAATTAACGTCATCTCTTTTGTTGTTACTGAAAAATTTTCACCTTTTCTTTATTATTTTTTTTTATTTTATTTTTTTTATTTTTCTTTTTTTTATTGTTTATTATTTTTTATTATTTTTATTTCTTCTTTTATTTAATTTTTTAATTTTTAATTTTTTTGTATTTTCTTTGCATATTGTATTGTATTTTTAATTATAAAATTTTCGCTGAATTATTTTTTTAATTGATTCATTTAACAATTAACACAAAAAAGAGGGAAAAAACAGAAAAATATGTTAGATATTTTAAAAAATAAAATTTGATAAAATAGAATGAAGAAATTTTCCATTATAATTATAATAATAATGAATGTGTTGAAATACAAAATTAATAGTTAAAATTTAACACATTTTTTCCCTTCTATCTCCTTGGAAAATGAATCAACATTTTTTTCTCCTCTGTCTCTTCAAAAATCTCGTTTTCCTTGATAGAACGATATACTTGACCTTTAGAAGTTTGTAGAAAAAAAATAAAACCGACCTGAATGTTTTTAAATTAATGGACAATTTTTTTAAACCGGTTTTTTTATCTTAATAGGGAAAAAAAGAAATACGAAAAATACTATATTAGCTAATGTAATCCAAAATATTTTTTTAAAAAAATAATAAGTAAAGTAATAAATAAATAAAATTAAAAAAAATTTAAAAAATAAAAAATAAAAAATATGAAAACAGAAAAATAGAAAATTGAAAATGGAAAATAGAAAATCAAAGAAAAAAAATAATAATAAATAATAAATCAAATTAAAAAAATTGAAAATAAAAAATAAGAAATTATAAATATTAGCAGAAAAATCGACGCTTGGTGGCAGCACTTCCCGTACGGTAATTCAGAAATATTTTCTAATTCATAACAAAAATTTTGAGTTCTAGCTACGAATTCCTCAAATTATAAATAAATTTCTTGTTTGCTTTGAGTTTTTTCATTTTTTTTCTTTCTTTCCGAGGAAAAAATTGACTATTTAAAAAAAATAGTGAAAAAAAATGGAAAGTCAGGAATCTTCTTTACTATCAGGACCGAGAAAATAGGGTGCAAAAACAATGGTGCCCTTGAAAGAAAATTTTACAAAAATCTTGATAAATGTGAAAAAAATCACTCTCTTTTCCTTCATTCGAGAAATAAAGAGAAATGCACATTTCAATTGTTAAGATCCATATCAATTGTGGGTTAGTGTCACGCACGTCACGCTATGTTATTTAATCCCACTTTAAGGCCGTATACAATAATTTTTTTGTATTCTTCTAACTTTTGTTTCTCGAAAATAAAATAAATTTCTATTCTATTCTTTTTTTTCTAAATAACATAAAAAATTAATTTTTTTCTAAACTATAAAATTTTTTTACTAAGTTTAAAAAAGTGTCAAACATGAAAAAAAGTATAAAATATCCCCTTAAATTTGTACCAAAAAAGGCCCTTTGTAGAAAATTGAATATTTTACAGAAAATAAATAAACTTGAGATATTAATTATTAATTTAAAGTGTTAAAAAGTTAAAAAAAATCCCACATAGCACCATAGTATGAGGTAAGGTTATGTTGAGTACTAATCGTAAGGCACATAAGGTTACACAATATTGCTGCGGTAGACCTGAGGTGAACTAAAAACTTCCGCCATGGAGGTAAGGTTACATGTTAGGGTGTGGTGAGTATATATGATAAGGCCATGGTAACCTTACACGTTAAGGTTAAGGTAACCTTACACGTTAAGGTTGATGTAACCTTACACGTTAAGGTTGAGGTAACGTTACATGTTAAGGTTGAGGTAAGGTTACATGTCAAGGTTGAGGTAAGGTAATTATTAAGTTGTAAGGTTGAGGTAAGGTTAAGGTAAGGTTGTGATAAGTTTACCAGTTATAGAAAATATTGAAAAAATAATTAATAAATAAATATTCAATTAAAAAGTTAGTTTGTTGCTCTTCTCTATTTTGGAAACCTGACATGAAGCAGAAAATTTTGAAAACAAATTTGGGGGGACTGGGATTCGAACCCGGGATCGACGCGCATAAACCTATCATTCTAACTAACTGAGCTAAGTAGAGAACTGGCAGAAGGAAAATTAATGTTGCCTTTAAGGTGAACCAAGAAGATGATTAACTCCTTAAAGGCAATATTAATTTTCCTTCTACCAGTTCTCTACTTAGCTCAGTTAGTTAGAATGATAGGTTTATGCGCGTCGATCCCGGGTTCAAATCCCAGTCCCCCCAAATTTGTTTTCAAAATTTTCTGCTTCATGTCAGGTTTCCAAAATAGAGAGGAGCAACAAACTAACTTTTTAATTGAATATTTATTTATTAATTATTTTTTCAATATTTTCCATAACTGGTAAATTTATCACAACCTTACCTTAACCTTACCTCAACCTTACAACTTAATAATTACCTTACCTCAACCTTGACATGTAACCTTACCTCAACCTTAACATGTAACGTTACCTCAACCTTAACGTGTAAGGTTACATCAACCTTAACGTGTAAGGTTACCTTAACCTTAACGTGTAAGGTTACCATGGCCTTATCATATATACTCACCACACCCTAACATGTAACCTTACCTCCATGGCGGAAGTTTTTAGTTCACCTCAGGTCTACCGCAGCAATATTGTGTAACCTTATGTGCCTTACGATTAGTACTCAACATAACCTTACCTCATACTATTGTGCTATGTGGGATGTTAAAGTGTTAAAAAAGAGATAAAAAAACAAATTGTTCTACATTGATACGAATATTGATTTTGTATAAAACTGTAAATTTTAAAGGTTAGAAAAATAAAATTTTTCTTCTAGGTCCTAAAAAAAGTTGTAGGTATATTAAAAAACGTAAAAGTAAAAATTTCTCATTTACAAGCAATTAATATAATCGTGTTATTAGTACACGTAATGCTAACATGTAATACATTATAAAATAAAATTAAAAAAAAATCCAATCAACATATGAAGGTGAAATTGAAATATTTTACGAAAATAACAAATAATTATTATTTTCCCCCCAATAACTTGTGGAATACAAAAAAAATAATACGCAAAATTTTCAATATGAAATATGGCAAATAATGTTAATAACTAGAACGTAGTTTACATTTGTTATAAATGCAAATGACACTTTCTGATATCACTTCCGTAATGAGAGTAATTATATATTATACCATAAATATCAAAAATACAATTTTTCAAAATTCCTCCAAGTTTGTTTCAAAAAACAAATTGAGAGTGAAAAATAAAAATAGTAAAAATTACGAACAAGAAAAAAATGTTCCCAATAAATAATTGTGATCTGTTTTTATGTTTATGTGTTGAAATAAAAACTTGAATGCTACTCACCAGTTGATTGGAAAAAAATTTTTTTTTAAAGTACTAAAATATTGATAGTGGTGTAGAAAAAAATTGTCTCGTTTCTTTATAAATTCCACATTTAGTCGAATGTTTAATTTTATTGCGAGGAGAATAGACGACACGAAATAAACTTGGAATATGTGGCGTGATTTTTTTTTAACAAGGTCTTTTGATAAATTTTCAGGAAATGTAGAATGTCTTCTTGCCTTTTAAGCGTTGCGCATGTGTCAACTTTCCCCGCCAATCAATTTTAACTCAGTCATTGACGTCACTGGGAGGGAAATTCAAAAGTAGTTTTTTAAAAAACTTTTTCCTTTTTTAAAGGTATTTTAAAATTAATTTTAAAATTTATATTTTTAATTTTTTAATTTTCAACTCTTCATATTTTCCAATTTTTCAATTTTCAACTATTCATATTTTTTAATTTTTCAATTTAAAAATGTTTAAATTTTTAGTTTTTAAATATTAAATTTAAAAATGTTTAAATTTAAAAATGTTTAAATTTTTATATTTTTCAATTTTTCAATTTAAAAATTCAAAATTCAAAAATTAATTTTAAAATTAAAAGAAAGCTCAACTTGGGTAATAACTGTTCATAAAATCATCTTTATTTCCTTCGTGTCCTTTCTTTTGGAGCATTTTACAATTCTTTTAAGTAGCAACAGACCTTAATGGATAAACTGACTACAATTTAGAATAGAATTTAAGAAAAACATTTTTTAAGCAATTTTTATAATCGCAATATTTACAATTGTCGAGATATTAATTGCTAAACTGAAGAAATAAGCATATTTAACAATTTTTGTTTTGTTTCTCTTACGTTTTATGTACAATGTGTCTACAAAAAGAAGAAATTCATAAAAATTTGTTTTTTTTTTCTATAAAAATATACTTAACGTAAGTTTGTCAATTAAAGACAAAGGTCAATGTTACATTTAACCCTTTCGCGTGTACTTTTGTCTTTAAATACAATTTTCTCGCTGTACAATTCTAAAATTTTCTTTTTTTTATTTTCTTCATTTTTATTTTTTTATTTTTACATCTAAATATAGAATTGAATATATTTATTTGCAATTTATTTCACAAATAGTTATAGGGAAAAAATTGCAAAAATTACATTTTCAATTTTATCAGAGCGAAAGAGTTAAGAAAATTTAAATAAATGTAAAGAAAAGAATACATTTATTGAGAAAAATAAAAATTTAGACAAAAAATGATTAAATTTTAAATTTATTTACTTATTTGAATTAAGAACGAAAAAAAAATTTAATATTAAGAATTTTTGAAATATTAACACTAGAATTTTTTTTATTTTTTTCTCAATTTAGAAGCGACCGCGAATAATTTATCTACTGAGATTTTCAAATATTCGAAGAAACAATTTTCCTTTTTTTCAAAGACAAGAGCTTGTAATAATTTATACTACAATAAATATTATTTTGCCTTCAACATTCAAATATTTGATATAGATTTTAAATCTATTTTTTCATCAGTCATTAAATTTGCTTTAAACTACAACTATCAATATAAGTACATATATATATTATTCATTTGAGATCACATTCGTATATGTCGCTTTCAATAAACTTACACAACCCATAAATAATAATAAAAATAATAAAAATAATAATAATCATAATAATAATATTAATAATAATTAAAATAATATTAATAATATTAATAATAATAAAAATAATAATAATGACAATAATAATGATAATAAGAATGATAATGATAATAATAATAATAATAATAATAATAATAATAATAAAAATAATAACGTTAAATAATTGTAATTTATAAATGTATCGTTTAATTGAAAATTAAAGAACATTTATTTACATTGGTACAAAAGAGAACAAAAATTTTGTGCTTTTTCAAAAGAATCGAAGAAAATTGATTTTTATCACAAAGAAAGTATTGAAAGATTCCAACACTAAAACGTAGAGTTTTTTCAAAATTTTAATATTTGTTGGGAATTTTCTTTTATCCTTTACTAAAAAATTTGTAACTCAAAAAAGTTGGGAATTTTCTTTTATCTTTCTTCTTAACAAAAATTTTTATCAAAGAAGAAATTAAAAAAATACCAACACTTAAATATATGTAATTTAAACATTATAAATATTTATAATATGAACTTTTATACAATTTTTGTAATTATTGTAAATCTTTTAACTTTTCTCTGAATAAAAATGCGTCTGAAAAAATAGTTCTCGAAAAATAATATAAAAACAAAAGAAATTGTTATAATAATGAAAACAAGCGCAATCGTATTTTAAATTTTTAATTCTTAATATATTTGATAATATTAGAATTTTGGTATTTCTAGTTTTGATTTTTCATTGATTTTAAATGTAAAATCCTATTTTACATTCTCATTTGGAGAGAATGAGAAAGTATTTTTTATAGATAAAAATTATAAAGATTGGATTTTAAAATATTTTTTTTTCTTTTTTTTTGATAAATATTCACATATGTCGTAAGTGTGCATTGGTGGAATTGTTTTATATACTTTAAATAATGACTATACACAATACAATAATAATGCTACGTCAAAAAGAAATCAAAGTTTACGTAAATATTCATTTGCAGGCTATTACGAAAGAAATTTTATTCTTTCTAAAGAGAAAAAAGAAACATTTTTTAAAATTTTTTTAATTACATTTTCTTTTATATTTTTTTCTAAATTGTTCTTTTCTTTAAATTTATTACGAGGATCACATTTTCATCACATACATTCTTATATCGTAATAAAATTTATTATTACGATTGTTAAATATTTTTTTTTAAATAACAAAATTTAAGTTGTGAAATTATAATATAAATATATATAATTATTTCTCCCATAATGCCCACATTATCGCATAAACTTTATAGCAGGCAAAATTAAAGAATGGCAGTTATTTATTAATCAACTATTTAAGACAAAAAAAAAAAACAAAATAAAATATCGTTTGTGTCGAAAAACATAAATAAACTTATAAGAAAATATTTTTTTTTTGGGTGCAACACACCGTAAGAAAAATTAAAATTTGTTTCAGAATGAAATAAATTTTTTTTTTAAACAGATATATATTTCTTCTTCTTTTTTTCTTTTGAAAGAAACAAATTTTATAACAGTAACTAATAGCACCTATTAAGATCTATAATTTTTGGCTAAAATTTTACCCAATCCGATTGTCGTTCAATGTGAGTATTACAATCATTGTCCAATCTGCGAACATATTTCATTGGGATTCCAACTCTCAATAAATCGTCAGCTGTGTGATATTGTAAATTTGGATAATAGTAGTTTATTGCCTCCCAGCAAATTTCTGATAATTTTGGAATTGTCAGCCAAACTGAGAGTACAGCATCGGTTCTCTCCGCCTTTAATTGTTAAGAATATTATAATTACTATTACAATTACATATCATAATAAATGTTATAATTAATATTATAATTAATATTATATTTAGTATTATAATTAATACTATAATTAATATCATAATTAATATCATAATTAATATCATAATTAATATTAAAATTAACATCACAATTAATATCATAATTAAAATTATAATTAATATTATAATTAATATTTTAATGAATATTATCATTAATATTTTAATTAATACTATAATCAATATTTTAATTATTATTATCAGGTTTCGTACTCATCTACTAAAACCTACTATTTACAACTTTTTTTAAGATTTGCTACTATTTGGATATTTTTTCAGATTTGTGAAACTCAAAAGCTACTTTTTTCTATACTAGAGAATTTGCATTAGTTTAAATTCCCTAATAAATGAAATAAAAATTATTCTCGATAATGTAAATAAAATTCTTTCAAACGATTTAAAGCTTTTCAAAATTTTTTTCGAAATTCAATTGATTTCAATATCTACTAGTTCAATAAAAAATTTCCCAAAATAATTCAATTTAAAATAAAAAAATTATAAAATTCTTTGCAAACATTCAATTATTTTCATAAATAATTACATTTTTAAAGGAAGTAAATTATTTAAAATACAAATTTCATAAAATTTTTCGAAAAAATAAATTATTTAAAAAGATTTTATTATAAAATTCTTCGCAAGAATTCAATTATTTTTAAAAATGTTAATAAAGTTCTTCGAAAGAATTCAATTATTTTCATAATTTATAAAAATATTCGAAAAAATTTAATTATTTTCAATAAAATTTTTTAATAAATTCCTCGAAAAATTACAGTCATTATTAAAAATTTTATTAAAATTCTTCAAAAGAATTCAATTATTTAAAAAAAATTGCATATAGTTAGTTTGTTAGAATTTAATACCTAATTATTATCAATAAATTTTTAATTCAATTTCTTGAAAGAATTGCATTCTTTTAAAAATTTTTAGTGAAATCCTTCCCAAAAATTCAATTATTATTTTCATTAAATTTTAATAAAATTTTCTTAAAAATTTTAAAAATTTTAAATTCTTCGGAAAATTTAATTTAATTAATTTCCAAAAAATATTAAAAATTAAATTAATTTCAATATTTACGATTTTAATAAAATTTTCCAAAAGAATTAAATTATTTAAAAAAAAATTTTAATAAAGTTCTGTTACAAGAATTTACGTCGGTGAAGTTTACAACGTTTATTATCAACGACTGCAAGAAATAAAAATATTTTTCTTGACAAAAGCAAAATAAAATGCATTGTTTACAAATTTTTCTATTTCAAATTATTCATGAAAAATTGCACAAAAGTGTTTTTGTGCAAAAATATGAAAAAATTTGAATAGAAAATATTTTTTTCTTCTAAATCGTTGATTATATAAACGTTGTGAAATTCACCAACGTAAGAATTCAATTATTTTCGAAATGTTATAAAATTCTTCGGAAAAATTCAATTACTTTTCATAAATAATAATTACATTTTTACAGGAAGTCAATTATTTAAAACACAATTTTTCATAAAATTTTTCGAAAAAATTAATTATTTAAAAAGATTTTTATAAAATTCTCCTCAGGAATTCAATTATTTTTTAAAATTTTAATAAAATTCGTTATCGATTTCAATTATTTTTAATAAAATATCAAATAAATTCCTCGAAACATGCAATTATTCTTAAAAATTTTATTAAGGGAAGGCATCACCCTCAACTTTGACCCCTTTGAATTTTAATTCTCAAAGATGGTTATATTTTTTTTCTTGCAACATTTTAAACCCAAAAATATATAGGAATGTAAAAAAATTGAAAATTTAATTTTTGAACAGGTTGGAATTTTTATCTTTTAACTCGTTGCATATTTTTGCAAACCCATGCGAGAGGTTGTTTAAAATTATAAAATAAGCTTAGAAAAAAATTTTCGTTAAAAAATATTGAAAATTGTAAGAGAAGATTAATTTTAAATGTTTAAATTTTAAAATTTTTGCAAAGTCCTACACCAATAATCTTTTTTAAAAATTTTTTGTTAATTTTTAAAATTAATCTTCTCAATACAATTTTCAATATTTTTTAACGCAAATTTTTTTCTTGGCTTATTTTATAATTTTAAACAACCTGTCGTAAGGGTTTGCAAAAATATAAAACGAGTTAAAAGATAAAAATTCCAACCTGTTCAAAAATTAAATTTTCAATTTTTTTACCACATCTTAGGGGCCGTCCATATACCACGTGGACAGTTTTTCAAAGATTTTTGACCCCCCCTCCCCCCTTGTGGACACAAAAATACATGGGATCGTGGACATTTTCAAACTTTTTTTAACCCCCCCCCTCCCCCCAAAAGTGTCCACGTGGTATATGGACGACCCCTTATATATTTTTGGGTTAAAAATGTTGCAAGAAAAAAAATATAACCATCTTTTATAATTAACATTTAAAGGGGTGAAAGTTGGGGGTGCTGCCTCCCCTTAAAATTCATCAAAAGAATTCAAATATTAAAAAAAAAATTTGATATAATTTGTTTATTAGAATTTTATAATTATTTTCAATACTTTTTTAATTAAATTTCTTTAAAGAATTTAATTATAAAACTTGCCACAATATTGTATGGTAAGCTGGCTATTTTGCCTAGTAAGCTTGCCGTAAAAGCTATTAGCAGTATTATTAATAATGTCAGTAATAATATTGGAACTATCAGTAGTAAATAAATTATTGTTTCATAAATTATTGTTCGTACTAGCATGAGTTTTGATAGTTCTAGCATAAGTATTATTAGTACCGTAAATTGGGGCTATTAGGAACAGATTTCAACTTTAAAGTCTTGCAACTTTTTTTGTGTATTGAAATATTGCCTTAATTTTTTGTTTCTTTTCTTGATCTTGGCGAGCACATTGAAGGGTTAAATAATTGTTGAGGTCGATGATGGAATCACTGGTCGTTTTTTGCGACTTATCGGTCCCAACACTCTTTTACAATTTCGAACCATCTTTCAACACTAAAAACCAAATTAGGTGATAAAAAACAAAAGAAATTACGAAAAACTTACGTCTTGACAACGCACTTTAACAATTTAGAAGAAATAATTGTGTTCCTTATATACCCGCCGTTTGTGAATTTTGGTTTTTGTTTTTAAAATCTTACTGTAAATACAAAATAAACATATTTATTACTTAATGAACTCAATAAAGTTTCCCATTAATAAAAAACAATCACTTTGAGAAGTCAAAAATGAAACAACTAACCTCAGAAATCAAATGTTTTCCACGTTTGAAACTTCTCTAAAACACATCAAGTCACTTACAAGCTACTATTGTTCACAAAATAATTAATAGTCACAATTATTGCATTGAAAAGTATTGCCAGTTACCGCAGTAACAATTTTTCAAAAGCAAGTAACACAATTTATCGATAAACGGCGCCGATAGCATCAACTCCACTCGAAAACAGAATTTTGTTCCTAATAGCCCTAGTTTACGGTACTATAGTATAATAGTTTTGTTTTGTATAAAGTTTTGTTGGTATCAGCATAAGTATTGTTGGTACTAGCATAAGTATTATTAGTTCTAGTATAAATATTATTGATACCAGCATAAGTTTATTGGTAGTAGTAGTATTATTGGTAGTAGTAATTTTATTGATAGTAGCATAAGTTTATTGGCAGTAGCAGTTGTATTATTAGTTATAGTAGCATAAATTTATTGGCACTAACATTAGCATTACTGCAGTAATGCTGTATTATTGGTAGTATTTATAGTATTATTGGTAGTATCAGTAGAATTATTGATAGTATCAGCAGTATTTGGTAGCTGTAGTATTCTTGCTAGCTGCAGTAGTTTTGTTGGTTATAGTACTAATGCTAATAGTAGTTATGTTTACAGTAGTGCTTAATAATATAGTTATATTTAATAGTACTTCTAGTAGTAGCGTACTAATAATTACCTCGTCACGTTTTCGAATAATCCCCCCAAAAGCGTACATGCGTCCAACCGGAGTCAGAGCCGTAGAATGAAAATAAACCGGTCGCGGTAATTTGCATTGATTCAATCGGGTCCACTGCAGCAATTTCAAATCCAACTTCCAAATGTCATTGAACACCTGCGATCCATTGTAACCACCTGATATTACCACAGTCGTCACACCTGTATTTTCATCCGTATATTGAACAGATCCGTGACAACGTCTTGGTCGTGGAACTTCATTTGTACTCTGATCGTTATCACTCCTTGAATTCGGATCCCCCAAAGTGTTCAGAGTCATCCATCTATTGGTCTTCAAATCGTACGCCGGGATTTCCTACGAAACACAAAATATATGCGAATTAACCATTTTCAGAAACATTTCTACTCTATTAGCCAAAATTCAAAATATTTATGTTTAAAAGTAAAATTTTTAATTTTAAACTTCAACTATTTTTACAATGTTGAATTTTTGAACTATCAAAAACTGTTGATAGATTTTGATAACGATCAAGTGCGAGGTAATCAAATCAGGACTTTTTTTTATTTTTATCATGGTACAAAGTGGTACCTAGACTTCCAGACAATATATTTGTCTGGAAGTCTAGATTATGCAACAAAAATGGGGTAAAAGTTTGCTTCAAGTGAAAACGAAGATATAACATTAAGAATTAGCATCAGGATTATAATTGGAATTAAAATTAGGATTAAACCTAGATTTGGAACCATAATTAAAATTAAAATCGGAAATAGCAGCAGAACTGGAATTAAAATTAGGATTAGAACCAGAATTAGAATTAGAACCAGAATTAAAAATAAAAATTAGGATAAGAACTAGAATTAAAATTAGAATCAAAATTAAGTTTAGAAGTAGAATTAAAACCAGAATTAAAATTAGAATCAAAATTAGGATTAGAACTAGAATTAAAATTAGAATCAAACATACGATTAGAACTAGAATTAATATTAGAACCAGAATTACTTAGTTAGAATCGAAATTAGGAGTAGAACTAGTTAGAATTACAATTAGGAACCAGTGTTAAAATTAGAATCACAATTAGGATTAGAACCAGAATTAAAATTAGGTTTAGAACTAGAATTAAAACCAGAATCAAAATTAGAGTCAAAATTAGGATTAGAACTAGAATTAGAATTAGAACCAGAATTAGTTAGAATCGAAATTAGGAGTAGAACTAGAATTACAATTAGGAACCAGTGTTAAAATTAGAATCAAAATTAGGATTAGAACCAGACTTAAAATTAGAATCAAAATTAGGATTAGAACTAGAATTAAAACTAGAATCAAACTTACGATTAGAACAACAAATTAAAATTAGAATCAAACTTACGATTAGAACTATAGAATTAAAATTAGAACCAGAAATAGTTAGAATCGAAATTAGGAGTAGAACAAAAATTACAATTAGAATTAAAATTAGAATTAGAACCAGAATTAAAATTAGAATCAAGATTAGGATTAGAATTAGAATTAAAACCAGAATTAAAAGTATAATCGAAATTAGGAGTAGAACTGAAATTAAAATTAGGTTTAGAACTAAAATTAAAACCAGGGTATAGTTTAGAATCAAAATTAGGATTGGAAAGAGAATTAGAACCAGAATTAAAATAAGAATAAAAATTAGGATTGGAACTAGAATTGGAATTAGAACCAGTATTAAAATTAGAATCAAAATTAGGATTAAAATCAGAATTACAATTACTATCAAAATTTGGTTTAAAACTAGAATTAGAATTAGGCTTAGAATTAGAATTAGAACCAGAATTAAAATCAAAATTAAGATTGGAATTAGAAACAGAATTAAAATTAGAATCAACATTAGGATAACAACTAGAATTAGAATTAGAACTAGGTATTAGAAATAGAGCTAAAATTAGAATTAAATCAGAACTAAAATTAGGAATAGGACTAGAATCTAAACGTAATTATGATTCTAATTTTAATTCTAGTTATAATTCTAATTTTGATTTTTAATTATAGTTCTAATTCTAGTTCTAAGCCTAATATTGTACTTCGAATTCTACTCCTAATTTTGATTCTAATTTTAATAGAATCAAAATTTGGATCAGAACCAGTATTAAAATTAGAATTAAAATTAGGATTAGAACAAGAATTCAAATAAGAATCAAAATTAAATTAGACTTAGAACCAGTGTTAAAACTTGAACCATAATTAGGATTAGAACCAGATTAAAAATTAGAATCAAAATTAGGATTACAACTAGATTTTGAATTAGTCTTAAAATTAGATTTACGATTAGAACTATAGAATTAGAATTAGAACCAGAATTAAAGTTTGAATCGAAATTAGGAGTGGAACTAGAATTAAAATTAGAACCAATGTGTTAAAATTAGAATCAATATTAAGATTAGAACCAGAATTAAAATTAGAATCAAAATTAGGATTAAAACTAGAATTAGGCTTAAAATTAATACTAGAATTAGAATTAGGCTTAGAACTACAATTAGAACTAGAATTAGAACCAGAATTAAAATTAGAATCAAAATTAGGATTGGAACTAGAATTGGAATTAGAAACAGAATTAAAATTATAATCAAAATTAGGATAACAACTAGAATCAAAATTAGGATTAGAACTAGAATTGGGCTTAAAATGAAAACTAGAATTCGAATTAGGTTTAGAACTAGAATTACAACCTGAAATAAAATTAGGATTGGAACTAGAATTGGAAGTAGAAACAGAATTAAAGTTAGAATCAAAATTAGGATAACAACTAGAATTAAAATTAGAACTAGGTATTAGAATTAGAACTAAAATTAGAATTATAACTTAAATTAGAATTAGAACTAGAATTAGAACTAGAATTAGAATTAAGCTTAGAACTAGAATGAGAATTAAAACTGGAATTAGAAATAGAATCAGACTTACAATAAAACCATAAGCCTCCATTGCGGTGCCACCACCAAGAACGTAAATCCTTTTACCATCGAATGCAAGTTCATGCCTGTATCTTCCCTTCGGCTCATGTGGATCACGACCAGCGCAAATATAAACAGCCTCCCACGATTTCGTTCTCAAATCAAAACGATGAATATCACAGGTATATTCATAACCACTCGTACCGCCAACCGTGTAAAGAAACGGTCCATCGCATATCACCGCCTGTCCATATTGTGGTTCAGGAAAATCTCCCGTCGCATTCACAATCAACATTTCCCCATCGTTAATATTACAACTATAAAGTTGATTGCTACAACTCTCGCCAAATGGTACACCCGTACCGCCATAAACCAACAGTGTATTACCTTTCAAAACAACAGCATTTGATGCTAATTCATTTGGCATTCTCTCCCGACCTGGTAAACGTTTCCATTGTTGCGTTGCGAGACTAAATTTCCACAATTCCTTAAATAATGGCCTACTCTCAGTCCATGTGTGATCATTTTGCATATCTGGATCGTCATTAGTGATACTTGGATTAAAACCACCGTACGAATATAAATTATACTCGTCACAAACAATTCTATGGCCACTACGCGCTTTTGGTTTCTCACAACTTTTTGCTTTATGATTCATAAACACAAATGGCTTGAATGTATACATTTTGCCCATTTGTAAAGAACAAATTCACAAGAAACAAAAAACAAACTTTGGACTTGAAAATTTAGAGAAAATTCTTTTTGTTGTTTGAGGTTAGATTCCCTTTAAATTTACGATGATATGTCCATACATGAAACATTCTAGAATTTTACTTTTTAATCGTCACCAATATTTCTTCTTCTTATTGGAAAATTATTAAATAATTTCTTATTGATAAATATTTTTGATTGAAAAAAAATGAATTTCGATATTTTTCACACATTATTTTAATGACACTTATGTATTTATATGATGTGTGTTCAGAAAAAAACTGCAACTGGTAAGGGGAAAATTCTCTCTTCTGAAGCTATATTTACGTGGTAAAGTCAAGACACTTAAGGGTCATTTTAGTTCTGGAAGTAACCAACAGAGAGTGTTGTTTTTTTAGATAGAGTTTAATTTTTTAAGTTTCTTATTTCTTCAGCGTTCTTCAATTTATTAAATATAAACAAAATTCAAATCGCGTTCACGAACTATGTATTTTGGAAAATTTCTGCTTTTTAGGATTTTCAATTATTATTTTCCAATGTATAAATTGTCCTTGGTAGAAAAAGTAGATTGGAAAAAGATGACAGTGTCCTCTGAAGCGATAGTCACGAACCTTTAACTATTGAAGATAAAGAAGAAAGCTGTCGGTCCAAGACTGATGGCTGGTAAAGTATGGATTCTACTAAGTAGCGTTTGTAGATAATGTAGGTATTTTACCACCCCAGCAACAATTGGCAAAGAAGAAATCAAATCGAACTTCGCTTTTTCAATTTAGTCAGTATCGTCAGTATTTATTTATTTCCTTTTGTCTATAATTTTAATTTAATTTTAATGTAATTGTAATTGTAATTGTAATTGTAATTGTAATTGTAATTGTAATTGTAATTGTAATTGTAATTGTAATTGTAATTGTAATGCAATTTTAATATAATTTAAATGTAATTTTAATTTGATTTTGATTTGATTTTAATTAAATTTACTTTTCACTTTAGTTTCTTCATGTTAGTCATTTCTGTAATGTTTTACCGTAACCTACTTATCTCTTCAATGTACTATTTATTATTCATCAAAGGTAATTTTTTTTATCTATTTGTTCTGTGTTTACATCTGATAAATAGATTTCGTTGTTTAGGAAGACTTTTTTTCTTCTATTATTTTTTATATTTAATTCGAAGAATTGTTTCTTTAATTTGAAGATGCCTACTTCTTCAATTATTATTTGCTAATTTATTATTCATTATAGTTTAATTAAAGAGTATTTTATTTATCTATTTGTTCCACTTACATATGAAAAAAAATATTTTAATGTTTCGAGACACTATTTTCTTGTATTTTTATTTATTTGTTTAGAAGAATTACTTCTTTGATTCTATTGAATCAAAAAAAAATTTCTCTTTGAATTAAAGAAGATTTTTTTTAATAAAAAAAAGATTTTCTTTGAATTAAAATGGATTTCTTTGAATCAATAGGATTGTCTCTAAATCAAAGAAATTCTGAATGAATAAAAAAAATTCGTTATTGAATCAAAGAGAATTTTTTTAATTAAAAAGATTGTCTTTGAATTAAAGAAATCTACATTGAATTAAAAATTTTTTTCGAATTAAAGAAATTCTGATTGAATTAAAAAGGTTTTTTTGAATGGAAGAGAATTTTTTAAATACATAACAGACATTTTCTTGAATCGAGAAAATTTTCTTTGCTTTAAAAAAATTCCGATTGAATTCATGAGATTTTCTTGATTCTTGAATCGAAGAAATTTTTTTCAATTAAAGAGATTTTCTTGATTCTTGAATCGCAGAAATCTTTTTTAATTAAAGAGATTTTCTTGAATCAAAGAGATTTGTTTGAATCCAAAAAATATTCTGTGAAGCAAAATGATTTTCTTTGAATCAAAGAAATTCTGAATGAATAAAAAAGTTCATTATTGAATAAAAGAGAATTTTTTGAATTAAAAAGATTGTCTTTGAATTAAAAAATCTTCAGTTATTCAAAGAAATTTTTTTTTGAATTAAAGAAGTCCTGATTGAATTAAAAAGGAATTCAATTGATTCGGAAGAAAATTTTTTAATCACACAGAAGTTTTCTTGAATCGAAAAAATTTTCTTTGCGTTAAATTAATGCTGACTGAATTACAGGAGGTTTTCTTGATTTTTGAATAGAAGAAATTTTCTTTAAGAACATAGATTTTCTTTAATTCAAAGAGATTTTCTTGAATCAAAGAAATTTGCTTAAATACAAAAAATTTTCTTTGACTCAAAAAAATTCTGAATGAATCAAAAAGATTGTATTTCAATTAAAGAAATAAGAAGACAAATTTAAATCAAACAAATTTTTTTTACTTCCAGAAATTTTCTTTGAATCAAAAAAATTATCTTCAATAAAAACGATTTTCTTTGAATTAAAAGAATTTTCTTTGAATCAATGGGAAATTTCTTTGGATAAAAAAAATCGTGAACGAAACTAATAAATTTACTTCAAACCCAAGAGATTTTTTAGTAATAAACGAGAGTTTATTTTTCTTGAATGAAAATGTTTTTCTTTGACTCAAAAAAATTCTCATTGCATAAAAAAAATTTCTTGAATCGAAGAGATTTTTTCTTAACATATTTTCTTTGAATCTAAGATTTTCTTTAAATTTAAAAAATTCTGATTAAAGGAAATAATATTTCTTTGAATCAAACAGGTTTTTTTAGTCAGCAAAAGCAATTTTCTTTTAATGAAAAAATTTTCTTTCAAGATCAAAAAAAAAAAATCTTGATGCAATCAAACAATTTTTCTTGTACCAAAGAGATTATCTTCAATCAACAAGATTTTTCTTTTAAATTAATAAAACCCAGATTGAAGCAATGATATATTTAAGATTCAAGACAAGAAATTATTTTGTCATCAAGGGTATTAATATATAACATTATTTAATAATAAACAAGATATTAAAAAATAAAAATTATAATTCAAAATTTAATTTTTAATTTAAATTTATAAAAAAAAATACAAATAAAATTAAAAAAATTTGTTCTATTTTTTTGCCAATAACGATATGAGAAAAGGATAAAAGCAAATATTGTTTCTAAATTTAATTCCGCTAAGTTTTAGCACGGTTATTATAAGTTATAAGAGTAAATTTTTTTATCAAAACTTGAAGACAATTATCAGATAAGGGCGCTCTTGTTTGCGCAGTTATCTCAAACGGAGACTATTAACAAAGTTGAAAAAAAGTATTACGCTTTATGTCATTTGAAGAACGAGTTCATATCAGGCGTGTATACACGTATTAAACATATTAAGAGCTAAGTAAGGAAGTTCAGGTTGTCGCGCCCAGGAATTTTGTAATAAAACTGTAATAATACGTAATGACAAAAAGAGAAAATCAAAGGTTGCTGAAAGAATTTCTTGTATCTTTTCTTCAATTGCGATGTAAACGGTTTTTTTTGCGTCTTTCTGAAGATTTTTACACATGTTACAAAATATATTTTTATATGTAGAAAATTGAGTCAGGACACAAGTGGATAGAATTAAAATAGTTTATTCAAAGAAATCCTAAGATTACATGATTGTCGTTGAGCGGAAACAATGAAACTGCTGACTTCTTTTTACACACACTTACAAGAGAATATACGCATGCGCTAACTTTATCCGGACATTACTACAATTTGAAAGGCCCCGCGAATTAACAAAATTCTACCTAACCCCAAATCCTACATTCGGCCATCCTATGAATCATTCGTCCCGGATGATTATTTTGTAAAAACCCAAGGTTTCATAAATTCAGCGCAAGTGCTAGTATTCATTGGTCCTTCGCCAGGAACAATTCGCTTAACGTCGTATGTGTCATTATATTTTACTTTTTCTATTTGATAGGGACCTAAGAATTTCGCACGAAGTTTTCTCCCTGGACCCATTTGAGTCCTTTTAATTGCTACAATTTCGTTCAATTTATATTTATTGGGTTCCCTACGTCTAAGATTATAGGTTCTACGGTTCTCTTCCTGAGTTTTGAGAATCTGCTGCTTGGCTTTTTCCCTTAGTTCATCGCGATCGTTAACAAATTGAGATGTAAATGCTTCTTCAAGAATCTCCCTCAGCAACAAATCTTCTTTAGTCCTCATTTTTACGCCTATCAACAATTCGATGGGAGTGGTGTTAATACTACGTTGATATGTCGAATTCAACATCTGTTGTAAGCGGTTCACGTGCAAGTACCATTTTGTTGGATCATTAATCGATAGTTTCGTCAGAGTTGGAATGATTGTTCGATTTATTCTCTCGATTTGCCCATTGGCTCTGGGAAGACCCGTCGTAATTGTCGAGTGCTTAATACCTTCTTCTTCGCAGTATTGCTTGAATTCTAGAGAAGTAAATGCGGTTCCTCTATCGGTGATTATTTGGAAGGGATTTCCAAACGTGTGTTTTTGTAAATCTAATTTCGAAATTGCTTCTCTCGTCGTCGTAGATTTGGTAGGGTATAACCAAACGAATTTCGTATAAGAATCTATCACAGCAAAAATATGATTATATTTTTTACTGGTCGATTCAAGCGGTCCTAGATGATCGGCATGGTAGGTGTGTAGTGGAACATCTGGTTTGGTTAAAGGATGAAGAAACCCTTCTTGCTTGCCTTCTTTTTTATTTGCAAGTATGCACACTAAACAATTTGCAATCCACTTCTCAACCTTGGTCTTAACATCTGGTATATAGTAGTCTACTTTGATCAAATCCTCAGTTCTTCTGGCAGAAAGGTGTCCTTTTTGATGGGTTAATTGAATTATTTCATTCTGCATACAATCCGGCACCACCAACAAATCGGATTCATTTGTAGAACGAAACAATAATCCTCCTCTCAACTGGTAATCACTCTGCTTCTTTTTGTCCGAAGAGCCTAGGATAATCTGGATTTCCTCGTCATCTGATTGGGCTTTTCTTATTCTCGCAATTAAGTCGTCTTCGAAGATGTTCATTACTGCGTTTCGACTTAATGCATCGGCGTGTTTCATGCGAGAACCTTTTCGATGTTCAATCGTGTACTTCAGTTCTTGCAAATCTTGAATCCAACGCCAAGTTTTAGGCGAGACGTCCTTTTTACTCATAGTCTGACTGAAAGCAGCACAATCTGTGACTATTTTAAACGTTATTCCATGCAGGTAAACACGGAATTTTTTTATGGCATCGATAACAGCTAACACTTCTAAATGATAACTTTGGTAATTACGTTCAACTGGTTGCGTCTTGCGACTCCAATAATGAACTGGATGAAAACAGTTGTCTTCCGGTGATCGCTGCATTAATATTGCTCCCAAGCCGTCCTGGCAGGCGTCAGT